GGGTGCGTTAGGCCGATGTCATAGTGCCAGCGAATCGAACGTTGCACCAGCGAATCGAACTTTGCGCCAGCGAGTCGAACGATGTACCAGCGAGTCGAACTAGGTACCAGCGACTCAATAGTGGCGGGACCCAACGTTCAAAGGAAGCCCGCCACTTTCAAACAGTGTCACGTGACAGTGGACGCTGTTTGAAAGTGGCGGGAGTTGACAGTGGGCACTGTCAACTCAAGTCACAGTGTCTGTTTGATCTGTTTTTTATCTCGTACGATGTGGCGACTCCAGTTTAAATGAATATTCTGTTTTCGTGGACATGTCCCTTGTTCGAAATATGCATTTTTATGTCTGGCTCCATTTGATAGTTCACTGCGCAGAATTTCGTCATAATATTTTTTTGTGCTCCGTGCTTATATCATACTTGGCCGACACAGCAATAATTTGTTTACAAATTATTTGCTTGGCATTTTAGGTGTTTTGGCATTCAAAATCAAGTGTGCAAGATATGTCGCAACTTCGTCAAATACGGTCTGATCTTTTGATAGAACATGGAGAGAAGTCTACTGGTCGAGCGGTCATCCGAGAAATTTCATACGATCGCAAATTGGACCGTGCACTACGCGACACATTTCTGTGGAAGCTCATTCGTCGATTTCACACCAACACTCTTTATCCCGAAGAAGAAAACTTGAGAAATTTGTTTGGCGACGGTTATGATCCACGTAAGTTCATAAAGTTCATAACTGATGAGACAGCATGGGGCTTGATCCTCCCTTTATCTTGAGTTCATCACCATTTCGTCGGAATACTGTAGATAGAACGATGCCAGCTACTGTGAAACGGTGCTTGAAGATCGCACTCGATAATTTGCAGCTGCAAGTTGCGGCCAATACCCAAGACATCCCAGATAGTTATTCACAGAGGATAAAGTCACTGATGATGAAATGGAGTCAGACACAAGAGATCACAAGCACACTGACAAGATTGTTCCAGTTCGCCACTTATCTTGCACCAGTATTACATCAGGTGCAATGTTACATCTATCGTTAGCGAGTAGATGAGCACAGTAGACATGAAACATCGCTTATGGAAATTTCAATATCATGACTTCATTCTTCCTAATCATGAAATTGTCCTTACACGAGAACACTGCTATCTCATAACCTACCAATGCTGTTCACATCATGCCGCATGATATGTTGCTGTTATGGCACAACAAGTGTTGTGATCTGATCTCTGTCCTGCTAGCTAGTCAGGCTATGTTTGGAGTATCGCTGGTTCCCTCATTTGTGCCATCAAGGTTGAGTCTTTTCTGAAGTGCGGAGTTGATCTATTGCTTATGAGCACAAAGCATTCATAATATTTAAGGCCCTTGAGGCATTCTGTGTGGGAAAACGTTGATCGACTAAGGTGGGAAAAACAGCGGATTTTGCGGACAATCAGTGAAGTCAAGGAAGCGACGGGCTTTGATTATATGACGTCTACGCTGCGGTGCTTGATGAGAGATGCCCCAATACTCGAGAGACACGAGGTGCTGCTCAGGCTTGCAAGTGGCTTCGGCCACCCGTACTCAAGATGCGAATACGTAATACGCTCTATTGAGACAGGACTACTGAACAGCAGAGATAAATCATTAGCACGTAAATATGCTGACTGTGTTAGTCAAAGAAAATTTCTATCCGAATTTACATTTCTAGACCCGGGCGGGGCCGCCGGTGAGTGTAGAGTTTGGATAATGGAGAAATCAGTCCATTGCGCAAGGCACGAGAGTAATAGCAAACGAAATGTCATTCATAACGTGCGACATTATGGCACCGTAAATAATTGAGGATTATAGCCGTGTCCATGCTGGAAATGTTGGAGTTCGGACCGTCTGGACAATGCCTCATCTTAAGGATAGAACAATTTCTGTATTTCGATCACAGGTTTGGCAGAGACATCTCGATGATCTTGAAGACCGAAAACAATTTCTGTATTTCGATCACAGGTTTGGCAGAGACATCTCGATGATCTTGAAGACCGAAAACAATTTCTGTATTTCGATCACAGGTTTGGCAGAGCTATCTCGATGATCTTGAAGACCGAAGCCCTCGAACTACCTGGAAGGAGACTTGGCTCCTGCCGGCATATCTCCTAAACTCCGGCTCCGCGTATGACCACCTCCAATACCTGAGAGAGTATGAAGAGTCATCAGATTTTGATGACATCCTCGATTACCTCGTGATACGTACCGTTCCAAAAGAACGAGAATTAAAGGACATCTTCCGCGGATTCGGCTGTAAGTCATATCATGACCGTATGCGATCCATCTGTCAGGAGTTCAATGTTATGGAGTATCTTCAGCAGTATTCGGATGAACAGGCTATGACAATTACGGAGCTGGAATTACAGGAAAAGCTGGTAGCGTTTCGTCAACTTGCGAAAGCCTATTCTCGTCATCGAGTACTTAATATCGTTATAGATGCATCATTATGGAATAATAAGTTCCGCGCAGAGACGGTGCACCCAGTGATGCGTAACACATTAGATGCTGTATATGGTACCACTCTGTATGGAAAAACGCATCTAGCATACCAGAAATCACTCGTGTACGTGCCTGATCAGTCTGGAACAACATATTGGGACGGACAGGATGGCGGAATAGAAGGCTAAACCAGGACACATGGGTTGTGACGTATATCGCACAGATTAAATCAGCTCTTGCTTCGATAGAATACCCTTACCACATCCTATGTAAAAGTGATGACGTCAGGGTGTGTTTTGCTATTCCTCCAACAGCGTTCGAGACTTCTACGATGGAAGAGATTCGAGAAGACTTGGTACATCGAATCGCAACAACATTAGGTAAGCTGGGACACACAATCAAGCAACAGGAGTCATACGGGTCTGAGACCTATTTTGCTTTTTCGAAAGCCGCCTCTATACAATCAATTGAGTTGCCTCAAACATTGAGGAAAATACAGAAAGTATATAGAGCGACTAACGCGTTTGTTGCCACACTCGATGAATTCATTGGGTCTGCTTTTAGCAACGCACACTCGGCGTGCAAAGTGAGCACCCAGACGTGCAGTCAATACTATGTCGCCTGCGTGTGGGCAGTGTGGCACATTTTGTGTACGAAGCAGTTCCAGGACTTGACTGATCATGAGCTCCTCGCGTGTCTCCTTGTTCCTAACATGCTAGGAGGCTTCCCGGCCGATGCACCATGTTTTGATTCAGTGGTAGTGAACGACTTGTTTAATAAATCATTTATTAGATAAATTACAACACAATCAAATATACAATCAATACAAGGAAGAATTGTCGTAGTTGTATCGTTTCGTGTTCTATTTGTCGATCATGGTGTCCAGTTGTTTGAGCGTCTTGATTGGTATAGTGTGTCGTGGGGTGGCGAGTCCGACTGGCGGAAGTCCGTTGTCCGTCATTTCGAGCTAGAATTTTTTTTTTTTTGATGTTAAGCGTCAGTGCGCCGTGCCGCCTCGTGGGGCAGAGCCCCAGAGATACGAAGAGCGTAAGTCCCGGTGAAAGAACTCAACCAAAATTGAAGGAACGAAGACTGGCTCCGCCGTCTAGGAGGCCGTCTTCGTACCCCCAGAAGAGGGCGGTATAAATACGAGGCAAGTAGGCGGGCCCTTGGAATGTCTTGTTGGAATGGTTTGTAGTTTGATGGCGGTAGTTTCAAATTTCAGATATTGATTGTCGTTGAGTAATTGATTGTGGGATCGAGACCTGTGGCGGACAAGGTGCTGACTGATGACTGGAGTTCCATGAAACAGGGTTTTTTCGGAAGGTGGTAAGGCTGAAAAATTGTGTCTGTAAGCAATGTTCTCTCTCTATTACTGCAGAGCTGCTGAGTGAGATTCCAAGGTACGGCTGCTTTGGAGACACTCCTCTTTCGAAATTCATGGGTAACCCCGCCCGCATGTCCTGCCCACTGAGACTTCATTTCCTTCGCTGACCTCTATACTTTTTTCCTGGTGTCCAAGACTTCTTGGAACCGAGTAATAATGTTTCGTGCATAACTCCGCCCACTTTTGTGCAAGCTTAGCCCACCATTAGCATTTAACCCCTTTCCCTCCGGCAACCCTTATCCACATTTCTCCCGGTCGCCTAGCCGTCTTGGAACCGAGTTATGAGAGTGGTGGCAAACTCCGCCCACTTCGGGGAGTGCCGCGCCCAGCGTTCACATTCAACCTCTACTCCTCCTCTCACCTCTACACATATTTTTTTCAGGTTTCTAAGTCATCTCGGAGCCGAATTATGAGGTCTTGTAGAAGACGTTATGAGTCATGAATTTCTGGGGCAAACCCCGCCCACTTTGGTGCACACTTAGCCCACCAATAGCATTTAACCCCTTTCCCTCCGGCAACCCTTATCCACTTTTTTCCCGGCGCTGGGGCTTCTAGGAACCGAGTTATGAGAGTGGTGGCAAACTCCGCCCACTTCGGGGTGTGCCACGCCCAGCGTTCACATTCAACCTCTACTCCTCCTCTTCACCTCATACACATTTTTTTCAGGTCTCTAAGTCATCTCGGAGCCGAATTATGAGGTCTTGTAGGGGACGAAATCGAGCTACGTATCTTTGTGGCAAACCCCGCCCACTTTGGTGCGTGGGTCGCCCACTGATATCAGTCGGCTATCATCTCTTCCCCAACCTTTTTCTACTTTTTTCCCATCTCTGGAACTTATTGGAACCGAGTTATGAAGTACCGTGGCAAACCCCGCCCACTTTGGTGCATGCTCCGCCCGCCAACAACGGTTGACCCCTTTCCCTCTGCCAACCCTCATACGCTTTTTTCCCGGACTCCGGGACTCCTAGGAACCGAGTTATAAGCCTAATTGCAAACTCCGCCCACTTTGATGTAAGCCACGCCCATCCCTGACATTTAGCTTCCCCTCCCCTCCTGACCTCTATCCGTTGTTTTCCGGTCTCTAAGTCATCTCGGAGCCGATTTATGAGCTCTTGTAGAAAACGCTGTCCGCTTCACGACACGCTCCGCCCATTGTGGGCGGGCCTCCGTTCACATCATGCGTGGTGGAAATACCTTAGGCATTGCTCCCCTGCACTAATTTCGTTTCTGGTCTGTAGGCTTCTTCTTAACCGAGTTATGAATATTTTCACTGAGCACCGCTTTTTCTAGAGAACGCCCCGCCCACCGAGGGTGGGTCTCCTCAGTTCGATCTGGCTTACCAACGCACACCTATACCCACTTTTGTCCCCGGTCTCGAGGCTGTTTTGTGACTGAATTTGAAATCATGGTCCTCAGTACCACTCATTTCGACGCACGCCACGCCCACTGTGGGCGGGGCTCCGCTTAGGTAATGTATGTTTTTTACTTCTCGAGATATGGTACACCCATCCCAAACTTGACCTGGACCCAGTAGGTTGTTGTCCGCTTAATACGGAATTTCGTGACAGACAGACAGACATAGCGCATTATATATAGTAGGGATAATCGGCTGCAATAGACTTGTTCAGTGATGGTCAGTCTTTGCTATTGATTCAGATTTCAGCGGGCTCAAACACACTCTTCACAATCGAACTGCATATTTGTTTTTCTTGAACACAAAAGCAGAGTTGCTAAGCAATGAAGAGAAACATAGAAAATACTAAAGCAAGGGCCTCTTTTTCTCTAAACTGAGGAGGATTCTGGAAGGCAAACAGCAAGAAAGTACTGGTTATCGAGGAGAGCGAAAAGAATCACTGGCGAGAAAACATTGGTGCAAACGCAACGAGACACTACGACCTAAGTTCCTGGGCTGAACCTCGCATCTTAAGTGCCTTTGAGAAAAGACCGAGATGGTGCAGTGATTAAAGAGGAATTTTACGATTCGAGTCAGGCCTTTGAAAAAAATAAGTTAAAGTGTTCAGTGATGGAAGAAGAAACCGAGAAAATGGCCTAGAACCCGAGAAATGGGACCCCTTCCTTACCTCTTGATTTGCGCATTGATGCCCCTCTCTCATCGGTGCTGTCATCTTCAGCCCTAACGCTCTCTGCTAAACGGCTAGAGACTCAGACACGAGACGACGCGGGAGCAAGGAGTACCGCACCAATACTAGCTCGCCTATTGCACCACGGGTAAGGGCATGCTGTCCTTCGATTCGAATTGTCGACCCGTACCATTAGGTGGTCCGCCTATCTAGCCACTAGATAAGTTTCCCCTTCTTCCACCTTCCTCCTTATCGTGGAATCCTCTTTTAAGGCACAACCCAGGCGGAAGCCTTTTGAACAATTTCCTTCGGTCTTTGGATTGATAGGGGATATACGGATGTGGCATTCTTGTGCATGAAATCACCCGACAAGAGCGCTAGGGCTTGCAAAGTAAGCTGCAGCAGCTGCAATTTTTTCTTCTTATCAGGCTGTTGTCTGGCGCCTCTCATCTGTGCGCTCTCTCGCCTCATACTCTCCTCTCCGCGCTTAGTCTCTCATTGCCTTAGCACAGCCGATTGCGAAGGTGAGTGAGCCCTAACCTAAGCGTTTTCGTGCAAACTCCCTCTTTCGGCTTCGAAATCAAAAATGGGTCGTAACAACCCTCACAATTTAAGGGCTCTCCGGAATCCAAGTAGCTATCCGGACAACCCTTTCTCGAAACACCGTTCCTTGCGCCACACGCGTGAACGTGCACCCGAAATCAAGGTCCGCGTGATATATAAGAATGTGAGTGATCCGGTGGAAAGGAAAATAAAAGAGGCGCTTGAAATACGAAGGAGGAACCCTCCAATCAACAATAGGGAAGAACTCCGAAATACCATGGAAATCATCGCTGTGCAATGACTGTTGAGATGGAGCTACGTGACGGATGGTAAATGAAGAGTATCGACTGCTTAATCTTTACCATGATCACCCTCTATCTGGCTGCTCTATTTTTCCCGTCTGAGTAGCAGGAGAGGTTGGTT